CAGTGTACACACATTCATTACTACAGACAGAAGCACAGAAATATATATATATATAGAGAGAGAGAGAGATAGATAGATAGATAGATAGATAGATAGATAGATAGATAGATGAATAAAGGAAAATATTCTCTATATTAGCGCATTACGTTTCTTGAAGAACTTTGTCAAGGTAAATGTGGAGCACGATGAGTAATGTAATTTATTGCCTAATAAACAAAAGTTAGCAAATGTTATTGCAGTTTTTATATTTTACATTTTATATTATTCTGTTAATATACTTATTATTTATTTCCTTATATTTTATTTTGTTTAATTAAAGTTTAAAAAAAAATGTACTTTTTGTCGTCTACAAAGATGATAATGCCGTATTCTAAGGTTGTTTTGGGTGTAGATTATGAAAATAAAATTTATGTATTGCTACTATTCATTTAAAATTTTCAATTTTATTTATTATTTTCAGAATATACATAAAAGTAATTAAAAATATCAAGATGAAAATATAAAAATAATCCAAATAAATTCCTCTACATATACAGCTCTGTCTGTTTTTAAAAGAATAAAATATATATTCCCGTCTTCTTAAAACGCCATAGAATTTTTTATATTTTGGAATCAAGCTCGGAGACAAAGATAAATCATGACATAAATCAAAAGATATATTTTTCAAAACATGTTTTAATGCTCTCACAAAATGGTCAGAAATTAAATAACCTTCCATTTGGAGTCTAATCACGCCACTTAATTTTACTTTTGATTTGTAGACACACAAAGAAGGAATATTTCGTTTCTATTAGGCCTCAATACCTAGACACATAAAACTATTTTTATAATTTCATATGTATTTCCACTATTTTCCAGGTATAACATCCAAGACGTCGTCATCCGTGATATATCCCAACCTTAAATCTGCTATTCGACATTTACCCCATTCAGAAGAAGCTTCAGTACATTAAACACCCACGGTAATTGGCATGTCTGATTCAAAGGAACCATAAATGGAATTTCCTGGACAAAAACACGATACCTATGTTCCAGGATTTGAATGCCAAGCGCCAAAAGCTCTTTCACAGTATGATCTTAATGATGCTGTAAGATCTGTAGACATGACAAAACTGTACAGTGAGCTGCTACCTTCGAGGCTAAAAGATATATTTAGTAACTCATGATGTTCAAATTCCAAAATGTAGCCATCGCACGGACACTTTAGAAGAAAAGTCTTCTTTTGACAACAATTCATGTGACTGCAATGATATACCTGGACCTTTTGAAGAATTAAATTTACTCTTTCCGTTCTTTTTAACAGCAAAGTCGTGCTTTTGCTTGATTTAAATATACAGCAATCGATGCCTTTAGCTGATTATGTTGTTTATAAAAGAAACTCGAAAAAATCTTGATTTTATTTTATTTTTTTAAATTAAATACAACGAGCATAAGTAGTCAATCAGTACAGATCTTAAGTTAGTCTTTATCTTTGAATGGATTTCAGAAAAAATAATACGAAATTTATGTGTTTTTTGTATCAATGGGAGAGCCGCGGTCGTGGTGAATATTACACACGCACAGAATTGTCATTAAAAAAATTGGTTCACATAACGTTATACGTTTTCTCTGAGTGGCTGTGGAAAACCTATTCTTATCACTACTTTATATGAAAGTGAGCTTAACGAAACAGTGAAACCTTGAAAAACATTAATCCGACATTTTATATTTAAACATTAAATTTCCAAGGCTCTTAATGATTCTACAATTAAATAAGGAATATTTACTGGGCCTCGAATTCGACAGCTCATGAGAAACAATGAATTTGAAACAGTATTAAAGGAATTGTAATTAGTGGTCTGGAAATGTTTCAAAGGCCTGTGTAAGGGTCTCAATGGAAATCGCAAATGCATTAAATTAGGTAAAACTAGTTGAAAAAATAAATTAAATTATATAAAATTTTAGGATTCAAACATTAAAGATGCATTCATTTTGCAATCATCTGAATCTACACAAAAAAGCAATATTATATATAGTCACAATGAAATCCATCAATATATATGTCAAAATAAAAAATAAACCCCATTATAATGTCTAGTTACCTGATGCCAATTGATGTTTAAATTTTTTTTTTATAGACACAGAGGTTGATGCTAAAAAAAAAAAAAAAAAATTAAATCTTCTTTTTTTTTTGTTTTAAAATGTTCTTTTAATGAATGAACCTGTATTTTCCTGTATATTTAAATGCAATAAAATATTTATATGAACATTTTAGTATCTATACATATACTTCTAAATGTATTTTCTCGAATTTATAAATATACATATAAATTTATCAAAAATATTGTTCATTTACTGACTTCCCAAAAGACAATTTCGAGAAAACTGGATTCTTATCAGGAAATTCATTAATTATTATTTACCTATTTATGTTTAATTTTTTTTAAATGAAAATAAGATTTAAATGTCTTAACTATATCGGAAATTTTACGACATGGATTCTCCACCCCTTTCACACCCATAATCAATGTTAAAATCTTTACTTGCATGGTTTTAAAAGTATGGAGGATATTTTCCTATGTTACGAAATCATCTGTGGGGATTTCATGTGAAGTTAACATAGAAAATCTGCCTATTTTCTGTCCTAATCAATTAGCCCCAAAACAAATTTTCACGATTGCAAGAACCCCAAGCTAAGAAATTTTTTAAATAGATGATTCTTTAATCAAAAAACAAATTTTCTGTTTTTTTTTTTTGGTATTTCTTTAAATTTAATGAAAAAAACTTTGACGCTCTTGATAATCCAAGAATAATTTTGTTTAAAATAGAAAATAATTCATTAAAGTTGGATATCGAAATTGTGGAAAAACAAATTGTTGTGTTATGCGGAACGTACAGGATTTAATACAATTTACGAATATCCTCGAAAGATATCAACTCATTTTCTGTAAATGGTTCAAATTAAATATAAAGAAAAAATTTTTCTTTTTCCTGAGAAAAAATTGAAAAAAAAAGATATGTAGAGATAATTTTGCATAAGTTAATCGATTCTAAAATGACGCAGAAAGAAGAGAATAAGGTCAACACATGACTGGTTTTGAAAAAATAGGTAGATAAAAAAAATGAACTGAAAGAAAAAAAAAATAAAAATTGATAGTATTCCAATTAAAAGAAAATACTATTTGAAATTTTTCAACGTCAACCAGAAAAATAAGAACTGTTTCCTTTAAGGAATGCGGAGAGAATATAATGAAAATGAATAGAGGAAATAATCTCAGTATGGGAATGAATGAAAATTTTACCAACAAAAAGAATTTCTGTCGAGTGTTTCTTAGAATACATATATGAATTGATGACTTTAAGGGAAATAATCTAAAAAATGGGAAACAGATATATACTACATTGTATGAAGTGCAATGATATATATAAATGGAGCTCATAAATATATATATATATAAAATAATTATATATTTATATCCCATTGAAAATTAGCTCAAAATATATATATATTTTAATCATTGGAATACGACATGGGTTGTCTAGACAGGCGTAAGAAAAAAGTGAAATAAATAATAAAACACATGTTTTATATAAATATACAATTTTAGGGATCCCCTTTTAAATTCATACAACATTTCAAAAAAGGTACACTTTTCGTTTGACCAGAACCAGAAATCGAATGACCGCAAAAGAAAGAAATAACATAAATACTTCGAAATTAATAACAGAAAAAAAAATCGGGCTGACTGAACCTTTGTGCGTTGTGAACATTTTGAAACAATCAAAATGATTACTTATTGGACATTTTTTTTTGTGCAATCTTTCTCAGCATCGAACTTGGCATCGGCATTAACAAAAAAAAAAAAAAAAAAAAGAAAATAAACAATTCATTCCATTTAAAACTGACGTTATGTCCGTACCATGAATATTTGTTGACAGTTTAATTTTTAATTTTATCAAATCGTCTAGAGAGATTCTTAAACAGGTCTTATTTAATAAATTGAACTTTAATTCATCTGTCTTCATTTCATCGATGAACGCCTTTCATTTATTTTTGGACAAACAAATTAAGTATTAAATATCAAACATACTTTTCAAAAAAATCATCAAAGGCCAAAAATAACATTTAATAATGTGCTATCTATTTCATTATAAAAACTAATAATAAAATTGATATTCTAATAGCTAAAATTAATTATAATAATATATAATGATTATATAATAAAATTTAATATTTAAAAAGCAAACATAACATTATATTTAATTATGGATATATAATTATATATAATATATAATATAATAATTATATATATATATAAATATTATAAAATATAATTATATAATATTTTATATATAATATATTTAATAATAATAACAATATATTATATTTTATCTGGGAAATAATCGGAGAATTATTTAAAACAATAAGTTATAAAAATATAAATCATATAATATATTATATTAATATAATAATATAAATAACATGGGTTATTTAAATATATAATATATTTAAATATTATATATAATGCAATAATAATGACAAATTTAAAAGCATAAATATATTAATAATTAAATATATAATAATATATAATAATATTAATAACCTATATAATTATATACATAAAATATAATAATATATAAATATATATTACCTTTATATATATAAATATTTAATATATATAACGGTAATATTTGGAAAAATGTAAATCATTCTATGTAAATAATTAATTAATATCCACATATATCATAATCCAACCATATATATATATATCAATAATTGTATATAATAATTATAAATATATAATATTAAATATTTTAATATAATATATATATATATATACATCTTTTATTTAATTTGTTTTATTAAATAAAAAAAATATTTCTTTTTGTGTTTTAATTTTCTTTTATTGTTTCAACTGAATAATTGAATCGTTCCATGTTTTATCAATGTAATTGCAAAATTTAAAACGGTGAAAGAAAATAAAATCTATATTTATATATTATATAAATATTTTAATTCTTAGAACGCTTATTGTCCAATTTATTAATTTTTTATTTAAATAAGAAAAGAATTTAGGAAAGAAAAAAAAAAAAATAAATTTTCAAAAAGAATAAAAATTATATATATTTATAAAAGATTAGTAAATTATAATTATTTTTGTCATATTTTTAATCAATATGTTTCATCTGCCTTAATTTTTCATCTTCAATTATTGTTAAAATTGGTTGGCTGATTTTCATGGACCAATTTATTTATTAAGGGGCCCGTGTGTTCATCAGTTCCTCGTAAAACATTGTTTTGAATTCTAGTTAAAAAATGTTTTTTTATTATTTAAAAAAAAATTGGTATTTAACACCGGCAGATATGTATATAGAAACAATAATTCAGAGGGAAAATTACGAAAGGAATAAATAAGGACAACATCCGTAAACATGTCATTTGAAAACAGAACATAGAAAATTTTAGAAATAAGGAAATTTCGAATTCAAAATATATAGAAAATGAGATAAATTTAAAAAATGGTTCCTAGACAGTTAAATTTTTTTAAAAAAAATAAGCCAAATTGTCCTTTTTAAAAATATAGATAAATCATTAAAAAATAATCATGAAACATAGATCCTCTGTTAATATATTAATATTCCAATATACATATATATATATATATGTTAAACCCTAGAAAATCAAAAATAGGATTTTCCAAATCTTAAAAATATATATAGAAAATTACAAAAAATTAAAAAAACATTTTTATATTTCTCTATTGTTGAAATAATAAAATGTGAAAAGAAGCCAAAATTTTGTTTTTAAAAAATAATAATTTCAGCTTTTTTGAATCCATGAATTAAACATGTTTTTAATCAATATTCTCTAAAATCCTAATCATTTTTAAAGAAATATTGTGTATATTGTTAAAAAAATTCTTTAAGATAAATACAACTG